TGTGGGGGGGGGTAAGGGATGAAGAGGCGAGAGAGAGAGAGGAGAGAGAGAGTGAGAGAGAGAGAGAGAGAGAGAGGGGAGTGGGGAGGAGAAGTGAGAGAGGAGGAGAGGAGAGCAGAGAGAGAGAGAGAGCGAGAGCGAGAGGAGAGAGAGACAGAGGGAGAGAGAGAGAGAGAGAGAAAGAATGAAAAAAACGTGATTTATTTTTATACGGGATATTTGTGGCAGTAAGTTTGTGTTGTGTGTGAGTGTGTGCGCGCATGCGTGTGCTTGTGCTTGTTGTTTTTTGCTTGTGTTTGTGGCGCCGTGCTGTCAGCAACTTGGAGGGTGGGTGTGCATGCGTTCGTGTAGCGCGCCTGTGTGTGTGTGTGGTGTGTGTGTTGCTGTGTGGTGTGTGCGTGCGTGTCGTGCGTGCGTGCGTACGTGCGTGTGCACTGTGTTTGTTGTGTCGCTGTGTGTGTTGTGTGTGTGTGTGTGTTGTGTGTGTGTGTGTGTGTCGTGCTGTGTGGTTGTGTGTGTGTGTTGTGGTGTGTGTTTGTTCAATCACCGACAACTGGGGACATTTTCAAGTTTTAACTCACGAACTGGGGACACTTTGACAACCGGGACGTCCCCACTCGTAAAGATAGCAGTTTATCGTATATTTCGTCATGTGCTGTCACCTAGTAACTAAATATTTACTGTCCCACACGTCAAAATTTTACGCTTTCTGTGTGGTGTTTTTCCCGCGGTGTGTGTGTGTTGCAAGCATGACCATTTGGATGCGAGTGGAGAAGTCCCCACTCGTCCCCACTCGCGATACGTCACGCGCGCATGCGTGTTTGGTACTGCATAGTCGAGTAGCACAATGGCGATTATGGCGTTGCGAAGGCGGCAGAAGTTTAACTTAATAGCAGACGTAAGGTTATGATTACCTGTAATTACGTATGGACACAAAGTCTATTAATTTAACAAATGATCTGCTAACCACGTTTAATTAGACACTCCTGTGCAACTTTGAACTACGCTTCTATAGGCCCTACATGTCGGGTGTATCTTGGCCGTATTTATGACCCTATGTTTTAGACAAATTCAACTCAATACTTATATTTATAATAATTAATATACCTAAATTAAGCTACTGGCCAGTGGGTGTACTTAGATTACCTAAATACGATAACGTACGTATAGCCCTCTTCTCGCACGGTTACCTTATCTTATTTATAGATTTACCTAGACGCCGGCATATAGTCTACATTACTAGTAATACTACTACTACTACTGTACTGTGTACAGTAACAGTGCACTACTATAGTATAGACGTGTGTGTGTGTGTAGTGTGTGTGTGTGTTTGTCGCTGTGTGTGTGTGCGTGTGCGTGTGTATATGTACGTGCGTGCGTGCGTGCGTATGTGCTTGCGTGCGGCGTGTGTTCGTGCGTGCGTGTGCGTGTGCGCTTACGTGCGGCGTGTGTTCGTGCGTGTGCGTGCGTGCGTGCGTGCGTGCGCGCGTGCGTGTGTATGAGCTTGCGTGCGGCGTGTGTTCGTGCGTGCGTGTGCGTGTGCGTGTGCGTGTGCGTGTGCCCGGGTGTGTCCGAGCGCACGTGAGCTCGCGTGTAAGCTCGTACGTGTGTGCTTGTCTGTATTGTGTGTGTACGTGTGCACCGTCCGTGCATGAAGAGTGAGTGAGTGATACATGTGGGTATGACTCGGGTACATTTGCGATGTATGTGTTACTGTATGTATGTAACTTTGTGTGTAAGTGCACGCATGCGATCAAGTGTGCATTATGTACAATGATGCGTGTGGGGCACACGCTGAATTCTGTATATGACATAATTACTAAGCATAACATGTAAACATTTAAACGTTTCACGCAAATAATGCAAAACACTCATGTCGAATTACGTAGCGATAGAATAAGCTGCCACGTACACGCACGTAAGTAGTTCCACTAACCCGATTGACAATTCTAGCAACGCCACAGTGTAATAAGCAGCATGTCTGATGTGATGTCCTTGTTGCGTACTGTACACCGCGCGGTCTCGCGCTCACATATTAACACACTCCGCATGAGCTGTACGACGCGGTTAGCGAGAGGGTATAACTTGCAGCTATACCCCACACGCCGGTTCAGGCGGTACTACATGTATGCTACTGCTACTATTATCAGTGAGCGGGTATAGTATAGTAGTTGTCGGCGTAGCGTGACTGTACTTACCCTGTCGGCGACTGCTATCCACACTCGCTTCTTCTTCATGTTCGATACGGTCGTACAGAGGCGGTTGAAGAAGATGCATTGGTTAGCCTTCACCTCGTCGAGCAGTACCTGCAGCTCAATCTCCGACCATTTCGGACGTCGGCTGCGCTTGATTCGCCTGTCTGCCATGCTTTTCGTTTAGCGATGCTGCTGCGCTCAGGCTGAATGGCCGACCGTCTACCATCTGGCACGCACGCCGCGACACTGCTCGCTGCACAGTGTTGCCAGGCAACGATGCGGTCGTGGCTAGATCTATCGCTAAACTGCTCGCTGGATGACGCATGGCCGGTATTTTTAGCCAGCAGCTATAACGAGATTCAGTAAGCAGCTCGTTAGTGACTGACTAGCTGCGTCGCCGGGCCGGCGGGGCGGTCGGGCGTACGCGCGACGTCGTTGTTGTTAGCGAGAGTGCAGCAGCAGCAGCAGCAGCAGCAGCAGCAGCAGCAGCGGAGGCCGCAGCAGGAACCGGCAGCTGCTGTCATTCACGCCTAACAGCCGTGCCCTAATGACGGCCTCGGTGACACGCTTTCATCTAGTACTAGTAGCATGTCGATGGCAACACACTTACCGTGGCAACACACTATCGATGGCAACACACTACACGTGGCCGCTCTGACTACGAGAGTGTCGTCTGACTCGCTCGCTGTGCGTTCACCCACGCTCGTAATTTATTTCGCATCGGGCTCGTAATTGGTTATAGATTTTGTAGCGTTACTGTCTCTCGCTTTCCGTCTCCCCCTCTCTCTTTCAGTCTCGCTCTCATAAACCCACCTGCCTCTTCGTTCTCTCATCTCTCTCTCTCTCGTCTCTCCTCTCGACTCTCATACGCTCTCATCTCTCTCTCTCATCACATCTCTCTCTCTCTCTATCTCATCTCTCATTCTCTCTCCTCTCTCTCTCTCACTCTCTCTCTCTCTCCTCTCTCGTCTCATCATCTCTGTTCTCTCCTCTCCTCCTCTCTTACTCTCTCTCCCTTCTCTCCTCTCTCTCTCTCTCTCTCTCTCTCTCTCTCTCAATCTCTCTCATCCTCGTCATCTTCATCGTCTGCTCTCTCTCTCTCTCTCTCTCTCTCTCTCTCTCTCTCTCCTCGCTCTACTCTCGCTCCTCGCTTCTAATCGCGCGCTCGCGCTATCTCTCTCCCCTCCGCTCGCTCTCGTTTTCGTTGTCCCTCTTTCTCTCGAGCGCAACGGTGTAAATATTGAATCGATCAATGTACTTGATATAAATTTCATGAATTTAATGAGAATTAATATATAATAAATTTTATGGCATCCTGAACAAAAACACATACTGCGTCAGTTTCCCGATTTCGACCTTAGCGTGTGGCATACATTCGACATAATCAATACATGCGCTCCTTATGCAAATCGATAACGAGCGCATTCAGTGTTATATATGTATGTGTGCGCGACC